TTTCAATCTATCTTCTTTGATTTTGCTCCAATAAATTTCAGCTTTTTGTTGACCATATAACTTGCCCTCGATAGTTCAATCAACACTACGCCGACCCAAAGTCTTGGGCCACCTAAAACAGAAAAGAAAATTTTGTTTGGTCCAGTAACAAAGAGAATAAAAAAACCACTAATCTGCGAGTTATATGCATCGAAAAACTGCCGAGTTAAACAAGACTAGGCTACAAAGGTAACTACGGGTTTTGATGCATTGAAAATCTACTATATAAAAGTAGAATCGCTCTCTCCATAGAACGTCACGTCAGCACGAAGAAGAGGCCACATGTCTAAAAAAAAACCCTCTCGCCTCCTCTTTCTCTCTGAAGCGTTTCAGAAAGAAACCTCTCGCCTCCTCTTCCTCTCTGATACGTTGCAGATTCTTATTTTTGTTGGGGTGAAATCCAAAAACTTCTTCACATGTTCTGTGCAAAATCTCTATTTCTTACTACTTCAAAAAATATACTTGAAGAGAGCATCACCAATATTTTTTCCCTTTGTTCGTAAGAATAAAATTTTCATCATACCCTGCAATTTCAATCGACGTTCTTGGCTGGATCCCAACTTTATCCTCCTCTCTCCAGAATCACCGTCCTTTCCATGATCAGGTCGTCTTTTCTATCAGTCATAGCTCTATCTGTTCTATCAGCCATTCTTTGTTTATGCGTAGAAACCTTATGATTTCTCACTCCCTTCTCTGTCTATAGCATGTATGCCAGCCATAGTCGAATTGTCGATAAGGTCATAACAATGTTTAAACGCAGTCTCAAACAGTCAAAGAAAGTCAACTGACTGGTTGTTGTTCAGAGCATAGATCTCAAATGATGTAAACCGGTAATGTTGTTGTTTAGAAACACTATTCAAGTTTGAACCTCCAAATCTCGAATGAGAGAGAACCTCTATGGTCTTTCATGCGATCGACTTCTTTGATACTTAGAGAAATCTGATTTGATGCTGGATTTGCAATAAGGAATCATGGAAAGGATTTCTCAAATTCGATGGATTTGATTTTCGTTATAGCTTCTCTGTTGTTTTTCTACAAAGGTTGTCACTAAAATAGTAATACGTTGGCAAACATGCGACGATTGTTCGAGATCTTAAACATACCACTTTCGATACAAAGGACAATTTTGGACAAGGTTTCCACCGGAAGGTATTATTAAGACTACACCGTCGCATCAGTCAATTGATTTTTCGTGGCAGGATTGTTGCTTTGCCCTTGGTGTTGTTCAGGTATCTTTACCTATCAATAAAGTTTTAATTTACCAGATTTAGCTTGTACCTAATTTATGTTTAGGTTTGGTGATGTGTATATAGTCAAATATGTGTTCTCATTGGGTAATTTTGTTTGTAGACGTCTACGGAAGCTTTTACAACTGGATCCAGCTGAGTATATGTTAGCTATTTCGGGAAATGATGCTCTTAGGGAATTATCTTCATGTGGAAAGAGTAGAAGTTTCTTTTACCTAACTCAACATGATAGATTTATGATTAAGATGGCGAAGAAATCAGAAGTCAAGGTTAGTTCTTGGTAGTTGCCTCTTGTTTTGACCTTCCTCTTGTCTTCTTGAAAGTGATTGTCCACAACAACCTAATTTTCTTAGTTAATTAGCGTTTGGCACACCTTTTGTTTGTTTGTTTCTTTTATTTCACATTACTTTTTCAATCATAAACTTAGATTTTACTTCTTGGTTTATAATTGTTTTAGCAGTCACTAGCTCCTGCTAGCTTAACATTGGATGAGAGTGTTGGAAAACCGAAACCCAAGGGTGTGTCTGCAAACAATTCGATCAGTAACAACGAGAATATATTCGAGAGAGACGAATATCCTGTAATTGTGAATGGTGTCATGCTCAGGTTAGTTGTGATTATGGACTATCTTATTTTCAGTACTGGTACTGGATTCATCACATTTGAATTTGATTATGTTCCTTTGTGTTGTTTATAAACTATTAGTTGATTTTTGCTAAAGATAGATCGAAAGCAAGAGCGCATACGTGGAGGCTAATACAAGAGAATTATTACATATAGAGAGTGCAAAGAGAATGAGATTCAGAGTAAGTGAGATTTTTCTTTTTACAAGTACAGGCAACGCTAAGTTTCAATTCAGCAAAGAGAGCACCAACCTCTGCAACCTTAACTCTGAAGCGCACTCTCGATAAATTTATATTTGTTTTCCTGCTATAGAAGTAGATCTTTTCTCTTTATCCAGGGCTAAATAGGTGATATGATAACTTAATTGATATGGTTGATTGATTTGGTATATTGGATTGAAATTGAGAGTTAAGAGATTGTGAAATTGATTGTCTGAGCTTAGCGCACTCTTGAAACTCTATTAGATTCATCGAAAGAGGCAGTTGACTTCATGGGAGCATCACTTAGAAGTAATGGCCAGCACACTAGAGAAGAAAGTGTTGCTAAATACGAAGCTTGGATAGAGCTTGATCTATCTCAGACAAGATCGAACGCTTCCGAGAACCAATCTTTTTAGAAAAATGAAATCAAAAAAGCATGTATGTGGATTTTTAAGACCCTTTAATAAAAAAAAGACTAAAAGATCAAAATAGAGAGAAAACATTTCAATACTTTTAAGATGCATACGATATAATTTCAATCCATAATGATCCATTGCCTGGAAAATCGGGCAAATAAGCATCAGTTCGAAGATTTTTTCACTCCTTCAAGCTACGAAGACCCCAACCGCAACCGATTTAGGAGAACAAATGGAATATCAATCCACCTTTGCTCGTCGAGCCAACTTTGGTTCACCATAAATCTATTCAACTAAACTTGGCAAGACCAAGATAAGCATGTGCTAATATCGAATAACACTTCTTACTAAGCATATAAGTAAAGGCTCTTTCTTTGATTAACAATTTTGTAAAAGTATTGTTTTCCCACTTTTCTTGGTTATTGGTTTTAGTTTGTAGTTGTTGTATATGGACTTCATCTCTACTGGTTGTTATCGACAAGCAGTTGGTGAACACTAGGTCTATGAAAAAATTCACATGGGACAAAGAAATGGAGAAACTGTGCGGTACATAAAGAGGTCCCAAATAATCAAGATAACTTATTTTTTCATAATAACTGATTTTTTGAACGTTCTAATAACTTATTATCCATTTCAATGAACAAAAGATATTATTTTCTTCTCTACATTTAGTATCATGTTTTAAGTCACCAAGTATTGAAAAAGAGAAAAAAAGAAGAAGTAAGAGATTCTTTTATTTCCTTGGAAAAAAACATTTTTTGTTTGAGTCTTTCACAAAATAAGTCTATCAGAGTAACTTTAGATTGTTGTACTGCATTTTAAGGGATGTGTTTTTGAAATAGTATGGTGTTCTTCACAAATTAAAAATGTGAATGTTGGATGTAATGAATAGATTCTGGAAACATAGACAACTCAAAAATTAAAGAGCCATTACTTGTTCGTTAAGATGTGCCCACAAAGTCAATCCCATTCCTATCATCACGTATGTACTTGCGATTCAAAGCATTTGTTCATGTACAATTTTAATATTTCTTAAGGATAGTTTGATAACTATTACAAAAAAACAAATACAATAGTAAAAAAATATGAATTTGTAAAAAGTTATGAATGAGAAAAACCCGCGCGTATGCGCGGATAATCACCTAGTAGTAATAAAAAGTGATGTCTAAAGCCTTTCCTTGTTGACTTTTAGCCTAGGGTCGGTCCCGTATAAATCCATCAAAGAGCTTGATATAATGTTAAACAAGGTGAGTTAACAACAACCATTTATGTCTAATCGGGTTAAAATTCGAATATAAACAAAGTTAATTGTTGAAAACTGTTTTTTTTTAATAAATACTAAATTTATTTGTCATAAAAAACGTTATGTACAAGTGGTAAAAACAAATAATGAATGGAAACTAACCAAAAAAAGACGAGTTCTTAATTAAACCCTATATATATCAAAGGTTAAAAATAAACTCCTAGATGTAAATCAATTTCAACATTTGAAACTAGTAAAAAGAGGTTTTAAAACTACATATATAGAATTTCTTTTTCAATATACTAGATTCATTCAAATTTTAGAAACCAATTTTTTTTTCAATCGACCTAATGTAATTATATATGTAGTTTTAAAACCTCTTTTTTAACTAGTTTCAAATGTTGAAATTGATTTCCATCAAGGGTTTTGTTTTTAACTTATGATATATTGGGTTTTACTCGAATTCTTTTGGTTTTTTAACTGGAAATATCATGGGGTTTATCTCTCTAAAATTTCTCATGTCACAAAATTTTGTCTCTTAAGCCCCGACCCTATAATATTAAGAGCCTTAGGGCAAAAAAAAAAAAAAATTTGGAAACCTTTAATAAATTTACAATAAAATGTTAATATTTTAGGTCCAAATTACACACAAATGTTTAATATAGGACCCCTAATGCATTCTATTTTTCCGAAAAAGGCATAATCTATTTTTTCAAAAAAATGGCCCTAATTTTAAACTAAAATTTTAATCCAAAAATGGTCACTTTTGACTAGAGGTTTTTCAAAAAATGGTGGTGGTCCCCTGGATTGACGCACTATTGCCCACCACACTTAGGTCGGGCATGTATCTCTCACTTTGATCTTTTTGGACTTTCTTAAATGACTTGTGAGCACAAAAAAGTAAGGAAATAATTACATTGGCCCGTTTTACTTCAAAGTTTCAAAAATTTATAACAAGAGAGAAAATTCTTTTGGTATGAATGATGTTTAGGCCGAAAAACCGCGTCGTTATGATTTTTAGATAAGCTATAAAGTTAGTTCACAATTTGAGATTTTGCCTATGTTAGCTTATATGAAACTCAATTTGATTTAAATTCACGATTTGACAGTTGAATATAGTGAGATTCAAATTCACGATAGATTATGATTCTGCTAGATTTTTGGAACTCAACCTACGAGTTGATGGATATATTCGGTTGCAACTCAATTATGATGGTTTGAATTAATGTGTTGTTCGTTTATATATATGGATATATTGTCTAGATGTTGTCCATGACGGT